TATATATTTATACTATTAAGAAATATAAGTAAAATTCTTTTATTTTAACAATTAGCGAAAAGAAGATTATATAGTTAAAATTCTGACAATGATCTCCCCAAAATAAAAAGTATATAAATCAGTGTTGTTGTTTTTGTTTGTTTTTCTAAGAAAACGCAGAGTTAGCCTTAAATGTAGCTGCATTTCTCCATATTGTTCAATATACCTAAGAAAAGAGATGATAAAATGTAAATTCTCGAGCGCACGTTTTAAACAATGATTTCACTACTCTGTACAAAGCGTAAGGATAAGTTTCTAGAATTTAGAGTGACAGCAAAGGGGGGTTTTCGGGCCACATTTCTATTTGAAAATTCAAATTATTATCTTGTATGCGTATCCATTTCTATAGTTTACCACGATATCTTTAGATATGTGAATTTCTGCTGTTAATGATGAATCAATGAATACATTCGCTTTGACTAGACTATGCACTTTATATTCATGCACTTTTACAGTGTGGGATGCAATAGTATTTTGAATGTCTTACTCACATATTACATCAATACACAAAGCTTGATAATTAGTAAATTAATAAACTGCAATTGAAATACTTTCCTTTAAACAAGGGTTAACTATGAAAAAACATTTAAATATGATATATATATATCTAGATATATATGTGTGTGTGTATGTATAAATTCAGTGAGATTCCAGCTTAAAGAGTATATTAATTTAGTTAATGCTTACTTAATTGACCTTTTTTTTTGGCATTTTCATCTAGGAGTGCTTAAGACATTTGTGAAGGAAATTTTTCGGTCGGGCGACGTGATTTTCACCACTCGAATTGCGTGGACAGGAAATGGAACAATATGGCAACCGGTTTATTACATTCAAATGAGACGGACCTCAAGCTCTAGTGAATTTAACTCGAAATTGGAAGAGCGTCATAATTATTCACTGAATGAAAACAGGCCTTGGCTGGACTATATAAGCGCATTCTTCCGGGGAGGATCTAAAACAGAAAACAAGTCTCCCAGGAAAAATAACTTCGAACTAGGACGTTGGACTAAACCATATTATACATGCGATGAGAGAAAATGGTTGCTGTCTTATACAACACTATTATACGCAAAACTGAAAGGAGTCCGAGCGAATAAGGACAACGAACGGTATGTGTTTGGTAATTTGCTGTAAAACTGACTCTTAATAATTCTCCGTTTCTGAAACTATAACCCCTTCCCTACCAAGTAACTCAGCCGTAAGCTTAAGGTGGACACCTTATAGATAACCCAATGTGCAACTTTGCGCTTAATAACAAACAAAAAAGTCTTAAGCAGGATTGCGAGATACTACCCTGCAAATTTCCCTTTAGTGGTAAGCCAATCCCTCTCTCTCCCTCCATGAACAAATATCCACCCAGGAGAGGGGAGGAGTTGGAAATGATTATTAACCATTCTTAAATTTCACACGAATTTATGTTGTTAAATTGATGAAATACTAAAAATATTTACTAAAGTAACTGTAATAAAAGAGTGTTTTACCGGTTAAGAATCTGTCTCAGGAAATATCACAAGCAATTCAACAACTCTTCTTCTGGTCCTTATGCTTAGAACATTTACATGTGTGGCGATAAAAATCTAAAAATATTTACTAAAGTAACTGTAATAAAAGAGTGTTTTACCGATTCAGAATCTGTCTCAGGAAATATCACAAGCAATTCAACAACTCTTCTTCTGGTCCTTATGCTTAGAACATTTACATGTGTGGCGATATGCCTTAACACAGTCTCTGATGGGTTTTAATCTTGTGAAGATGTGCATTTAAATTAGGATAACAATGAGTGATGCGAATAACATTACTCTGTTACACCAGTTTTCAGTGTAAAAACTTGGAGTGGTTACAATTTGGGTGCGTAAAAACTGAATAGGGGGATTAATGTGCCTACATTTCGCGGACTACAAACCATGAGAGGGTAAATAACGCTGATGAAAGCCTCAATGACTCCTTTATATTGTATACATTGTCAGTATTTTTATATCGAATAAACTTTATTTCTGAGTGATTACTAAACCACGAATAATAAATAAATAAATAAATAAATGAGTCATCTGGCGTATGCTTGTTGATTTGTTGTTCCAATTTGAGTTTATGTTTGTTTTGTTTTGAATTTCACGCAAAGCTACACGAGGGCTATCTGCGTTAGCCGTCCCTAATTTAGCAGTGTAAGACTAGAGGGAAGGCAGCTAGTCATCAACACCCACCGCCAACTCTTGGGCTACTCTTTTACCAACGAATAGTCACATTATAACGCCCCCACGGCTGAAAGGGCGAGCATGTTTGGTGTGACGGGGATTCGAACCCGCGACCCTCAGATTGCGAGTCGAGCGCCCTAACCACCTGGCCATGCCGGGCCTTGAATTTATGATGACGACGATTAATACTATTGTTGTTAATAATAATACATAAGATGGTGATGATTTTTAATAGAATTATTTTTTGTGAATCAAAATCTATATAAAATCTGCATATTACGTTTGTTTAGTTGTAGTAAAGTGCAAAGGTACACAATGGACTATCTTTGTTCTGCCAACCGCAGGTATTGAAACCCTACCTTTAGCGTTATAAGCCCATTAACCTACCGCTGAGCCACGGGATAGCTGAATATTACGTATTGTCCACTATATACATTACCCTAATTATGTTTACTTTTGGAAGATGGAATGATAGAATGTAAGGCTACCTATTGGCTAGTGAAGTAGTCCATCACTGCTAGAAGGCAGGGTTAATTTTAAAAGATCATGAAAATACTATGGGAAATATCAAAGGAGAACTCTATAGAGAAAACGATATCCCCCTCCACATTTTTAGCGTTAATTCCTATTTCATTTTCTTATTTTACCCCTATGGGTTTGATTTTTCCCTTCAAATTGGGGGGGGGGCTTCCAATTTGGCAACCATGGTCTTAACTTGTATGTTAGCTACTGAAATTTATTTCATGGGTGTATTGTTTAGTAGACACAAACATAACGTAATATAGCACAAAGCGTAATATATCTGTTGAAGAGTTATCCGCGATCTATGATGTACCTTTTAAGGGCGTATCTGAAAAAGACATAACTGGTCTATATGGGATATGTCTATGATAACATGATCACAGAAAAACAACCTTTAAATTTTATGGATTTTTATAAATTAGTTGTTTATAAAGTGAACTAATTGGCCAAAATTAATAAACGTGAATTGTTTATATTTTTTTGTTGACTATGGATATCTAAGAAAATGTGAGTTCTATGGTATCATTCCATTTGACGCGTGGGTTCATTGTGAGATCTCCACGATTACTTTGCTTATATATTTATAATGTTAAAATTTGAGGTTCGATCACCGCAGTGGATACAGAGCAGTTAGCTTCTTGTGTATCTTTGTACTAAAACAAACAGATAATTATCGTCAGATACGATAGAAATCAGAAGTTCGACTTGCTTGAGTTTCTTTAAATGTGAAAAAAACTTTGGTTTGTTTTGAATTTCGCACAAAGCTACTCGAGGGCTATCTGCGCTAGCCGTCCCTAATTTAGCGGTGATAGACTAGAGGAAAGGCAGCTAGTCAACACCATCCATCGCCAACTTTTGGGCTACTCTTGTACCAACGACTAGTGGGATTGACCGTCACATTATAACGCCCGCACGGCTGAAAGGCCGTAAAAACAAGTGACTGCTAGAAAACCAGTGTGGTGTCGGCGGATTGGCCTAAGAGAATAATCCAATTGATGTTGAAAACTCCTAAGATCTATTAGAGTAATGCACACCTGAGAAAGAAAAAGGAATATTAAAAAACATTCAATAAACCTGCAAACAAAAACAAAGCTCCAAAGAATGGTTTTAAAGCGCTGCTCCCGGAAACTCTGAAGAAAACATTATTGAAAAAAAAATAGTATTAACAGCATTGAAAAACCAATACACATAACGTTCCGAAAAGCAGTTTTAGAGCTCTCGTTCTGAAAGTCTGTCGAAAATATTAAGTTTGATTGACTATTGTCTAGGAAAAATGATGATAATTTTCAAATATTATGTACATATTGATTGCTAGACTAGACATATGTTGCCACCTTAACGTCCAATTGTAATAGCCCAATTTTAAATCCTTTTATTAAATGTACATAAACATATATATAATGAAGAGACCTAGATGGTTAGTACAATATTGTAAAAGTAAAATACTAAAACTGCCTCGTAGAAAATCCACTTGATAGAAGTCTGAAAGATTCTTGTGTGGCTGAAGAACTGTCCATAATACAGTTAGTGTATGCATAATTTTGTTTTCTTTGACAATAACCATGAGCCTCTTTCCAGTGTTTATTATTCAATACTTTATGTAATTTGAAGTTTTAATGTATACGTTTAAACTTTGCACTTATTTGGCAAGGTAGTTTATAAGGGTTTAATGTTAGAGGCAGTAAACTATTTGGTTTTATTTCTTGATGTTATAAATCTAAATATATTTATTCAGAATATAACAATAATATATATACAAATGAAAACTATAGCAAAGAAAAATAAAGAAAGGAAGACAAAATATCCTAGTTGGAGTGTTTGGGATCAACTACTGATATTAAAGGGCTTTACTAACTTTGAACCGTCTGAGAGAAGAAGAAACCGTCAATGATGTGTACATAATGTAAATGAAAGATGTACCTTTTTTGAGTTTAAATGCATTTCACTTAAACCTTCATACACTCAGTTTTCAGTAATGCTCTCTGTATGGCTACTCATACCTCAGTTATATACGTTAGTCATCTATTAGCGCAATAAATAGCTCTTTAACACTAGACAAATGTATGTAACATTTACAACAGTGGTTAAAGTAAAAATCTGGAGCTGGACTGGGGTTGGGAAGTGGTGAATTGTTTAATCCATTAGGTCATTCCTTTTAGAAAACTTTAAGAAATCAATTA